GGGTTTGGGTAGTAGGTGGCTGGCTCAACACAAATCAGTCTTCCAAATAGAAAAGTATTTAATAAGTTATATGCCCCAACATCTTAGAAGAACTTTCTGTAGAGCACATCTTGAACAACTTGGTTCCATGGTAAGCTATGGAAAGTTTCATGGTGTTTCATTTGAAGAAAGACTGTGTATATTGTACATATCCTGTTTGGTTGTGTGCTATATTCTGCAGAAAGGACATTTACTTAGATCCTTACTTAAAAGCTAAGAAATATTGGGACACCCAGGATAAACTGTCTTCTTGCAGGGAAAAAACTTGCATATTGCTAGGAAAACTGCAATTTTAATATCAAAGTCCACTCCAAAGAGGATAGACTACTTAGAACAGATTGGGGTTGACTCCAGGGGTGACAATTTATTATGCATATATTCTACTTTTTTCCGATTGTTTTTATACCTTTTTGATAGGGTCAGATGACTAATCAATAAAATGTATTGTGACAAAAAAGCACACTCATGGAAATACTGTGGGTGTAGTTTCCTTTCCATGAATGGAAGTGCAGAGTTAAGTGAAGACCCAAATCTATGAAATGGAGTTCTTACTGTTAGCTCTGCATGGCTTTGGAACTTAAGATTTTTTAAGGGTATGTCCTCTCTTGTCATGTCACTTTCTAAATCAGCCCCTGCCCAGCTACTATGAGCTCTGTAAAAACAAGATGAATAGAGTTTTGTTTTGGTCTCCTCATGAAAATCAGTAGCAAAAATCACAAACCACAGGGGGAGAGCCTAATTACTTATCATGCAAATATATATATATGCACACAAAATGCATTTTGTTGAGGAACATATACCCACTGAGAGACAGTCCATCATAGTATTTCATAGTTTTAATTTTTTTTTCATATGCACTTCTATCTAAGCTCAGTACATTGGTTTTCCTCACAATAACAACCCTGTAAATTAGGGTGGGCTAAGTGAGTGGATGTAGAGGGCAGAGGGGATGGCCTTGAGAGACATGAGGAAGAGCTGCTACTAAGACAGTGGTCAGATAAAAGAGGACTGAGTCTGGACCAGGAAGGTAACCTGAGTAAACATCTCAGACAAGACCCTCCCTAGTTCTCATGAAGGGTTGGGGAATGCATTCAGACTTACAAGATTCTGTTACTATAGCTTTACGATAAAAGTAGTACTGACTTCTATGACATTGGATTCCTAGTCTGATCAACCTTGAAGGGCTGACAGCGATTAGCCCAAATCACTCCATAGGCTTCCATACCTGAGAGTAGACTAGAAGATCTCTCTTAATCACAACAGAACAATGTCTCTTGTTATGATTTCTGTTCAACACACACAGATCGCTGTGCAATAGATTGTTTGGAATATTCCAGGGGAAAGTTTTTTGATGGTAGCCCGACTCCTAGATGGATTTTAAATCTCAATTACATTAAATGGCAGATATTCAAGTGTTGCAGATGGGACATTTCCAGGTAGCTGCTATCCCAAATGCCATGTATGAAACTAGAACAAGGAGTATTCTGCTACAAGAGTTTATGCAACTGCTCCCGTTCTACTGTTTCAAATATTCATCATGAAGGGAGAGTCGATAACCATCTGGAATATACAAAGATGCACCAATTGAATATATGTTCTGCATAAAAGTATCTCTGCAATAAATGCTAATTTCAAAATACCTTTAGAATGCAAATACAGATTTTTACAGCAAATGAAGGTTTCTGAAAGTGCACCCTGTACCCATTTTCTCTTTTCTAACTATTCACTGGCACAGGAACACAACCAAAAGAATGAATTTCTGTCTTACATGTGACCTCGTTAACATCGGTTCAATATTTGGAAAGATGGCTGTTTAAATAAGTGTTTGAAATCATAGAAAAGCAAGAAATGCTTGTTATGTTGTTTAATTAATGTGACAGATCTGACACAACTTCCTAAAGCTTATGAATTTTATTCTTTTTCATCTCCGTGTGTGATAGTGTAGCAGAGAGCTTTGTAATCCAGATTTCCTGCCGAGTCAATAGGGGAGGACTGAAACATCTGATCGATCTGTAGAACACAGAAAAAGGAAGAGTTTAGCCAATGAACATGACCAGGACAAGCCCAAAAACCACTGCCAAGTGATTCTTCACTCTTTAAGGTTGAAAATCATAGAAGCATGTCTACTAAAAATATATGCTAGACTCAAAAAAAGCATGTCTTTTGTTTACAGAAGTAACAAAACTAGAAGCCTTTATCTTAGAATTCTCCATAAGAGTTTTCACACAATTGAATTGCCATTTATTATGAGAAAAAGTAATTTCAACGAAAGCAACTTACTTCACTAGCCACCTTCCCACTGAAGAATAATGTATTAATAGTAATAATTAACTAATTTTTCTAAAGGACAATAGTTTAGTGTGGCCACTAAGTATATATTACATTAGCTACTGATTATAACTACAAATGAGTATTTAGAAGTCATCTGCACTTTCTTTAGATTAAACGAAGTTTTTATTTTCAGTGAGAGCCAGTCCTGTCCCCTTTATCAAAGAATCCATAGTTCATCTGCATGTTGCAGACCAAAGCAAATGGATTTAATCTCTGGAACTGAAAGTTTAGCACCCCTCAGCTGAACAGCTGTTGCCATTCAACTTCTTTTTTTTTTATAACTTTATTAATTTTTTTTAAAAGGGACAGTAAAAACAAAAACTAATATTAAGAGAAAGAATAAGGAGAAAGAATAGAAAATTGAAAAAAGAGAAAATAGTAAAGACCAAAAGTGCAGTAAAGAGAAGAAGAAACCACAAAGAAAAAAAATTACTTCTGACCCTCCTTGCAACAGATATAAGTAACAATATACATCAGACTCCTACTCTAAATTTAAAACACAACTTCCATTATTTCTATTCATCCATATTATTTCTAATCATCAGATCCAGACAACATAATTTCATTTTTTTTGTTTCCCGCAAAAAGTCCAAAAGAGGTTTCCAGTTAGCGTTAAAATTACACAATGTCTTATCTCGAATCAAAGCAGTCAATTTCGCCATCTCAGCCAACTCCATCATATTCACCATTCCTCCACTGTCGGTAATGTCTTATCATTCCACTGTGCATATAAAAGCCTTGCTGCTGTTATCATAAGCTGTTGCCATTCAACTTCAGCAGTGTGACAGATGCTTCAATGGCCTGGATTATGTAAGGCAGTTTCATGGATCCTTACATTACCTTCAGTGTTTTATTTATTCAAATCTGTTATAGTTTTGCAATTCAGGTTTAAATGAGGAGTTTGGAATAACAGTTATTTGTTTCAAGAAATTTCTTTTGAACTTGGAATAAGACAGTAAACATTTAGCAGAAGCCAGTAACAAATACCC